TTTCCTGATGAATGCTGACTGGAGAAGGATAATTACTTCCCATGATTATTGGCTTTGCTTCTGGTAATATAGCCCAGGATGCTCTTTAGAGTGTTTACTGCCAGGGCACACTGATTGTCAGGTATTGAACAATTACTGGACAACACAACTATATGCTTTTTTCCTAGTATAAACTATAGCTGTATTTCCTGCACAACAGTTGAAAGAATACCACGCTATGTAAACAGAAGCTGTCCATCTTTCTGTACACAAAAATGCAGCTTTTAATGCACATGCACACACACATGAGTTACAATTGTGGCAGGTGGTTGTACCTTGTGCATTTTGAGCATGTTCTTTCTTAGCATGAAAGTGTAGCTCTAGTACTTGCAACTGAAGATGATGCTTTGCCAATCTGAGGCATGAATTTCAATGCCAAAGTTTTAAGGACCATCCGCACAGAGAAGTCAGTGTCAGCTGATCTTTAGTAACTGTCAGTGGGATAAGTACAATGTAATTTGCATTAGTTCAGACCTTTATTGCTTGTGTTTAATGCTAGACTCTTCAGTGCCAGCCCCTTAGATGCACATAGTTATGAACTGAGATGTGTGCAGTTTATCTCCAGCTCTGTTTCTGCAGGAGCTGGGAACTGTCTGGTACAGATCCAGAAGTATGACTTGGAGCATACTTGGATGACAGATCCAAAAGTATGACTCTATGGAAGAGCTGGGTACAAGATACCTAAGAATGTAGTGCAGTGCATCTCCAGAAGTAGCCTCTCTTGGCATGTCTAGTGTGTAATCTAAGCAGGAACATAAAGCACTTCCTTTCACAAATGAAGATTAAGAACTCCAGGGGAAGACAGGCTTCTTTTGCTTGTCCTACCAGAGGTTGTATTTAGTCCATGCAAAGCGATGTGAATGAATTATATGCTTGAGATTTGAAGACTTCTTAATGTGCCACCTATTAAAAGGGAGCCCCTAGATGTAGCATAGAATCCATGCGTTTTCAGTTACTGAGTGGTGTGGAGGGGGGAACACAAAAAAAGACATTACGAATTATTAAGAATTGCTTTGCTTGACTGTTTGGCTATAACCATAGAAAATTTTCAGACTCCTATGCTTTTTAATAAGTGATTAGAAATGAAAGTTGACAGATGATTTAGGGTACTATGAACATATGTATATGTGAATTTGCCCTCTTCTAAGTTGTGTTTTTGGTTTTTGTTTTTTTTTTTTTTTTTTAAGAAAGTCAAATTAGGAGTTGTCAAGAACTGTATTTTCTGAAGCCACATGACTATTGGTAGAGTGTTCCTTTTGCATTTGCCAAGGGCTGTATTCAGTAAATGCATTGGAAGGTATTTCTTAAACTAGGGTCAGTGTGTCTTAGTAGCGTGAAGTGAATAAGAATGGCTGTAATGTACATGACAGTAGGTGTTGCATTTGGGGGGGGGGGAAACTGCTACTCAGTTTCCTCAGCTATCAGTATTAAGAGTAGTCTTGCTCAACTTAGATGAAAATGAAGTAAAACGTTATGTTGTTAGCACAAAACCAATTCTTTAGGAGATGTAGTCAATACAAAGGAGGGTTAGAACTTGGTGCAGAAAGGACTCAATTATCCCAAAATAATAGCTGTAGTATGAAATTAAGGTGTGGTTTTAAAAGGAAAAAAAAAAGACATGGTGATGAACTTGAACCCTGAAAACAAGTTTCTACTGTAATTTGAGAGCCGCTCTGCTGGAAGCAATTGAGGAGGACGGTGTGGATGGATTCAGCAGTTGGAGGATAATGCTAAGTTACTAGTGTGATTCTCAGGTGAAGATGTTGAAGTATTTTCAGTACAGAAAGAAAGGCTTAATGCTCTTAGTACCTAGAGTACTGCATACAAGCCCAGTCATTCCTAATTGAGAAGCATGAACCAAAGCTAGAACAAGTACAAACAAGGGCTGTATTTTTTTTTCAGTACAAAAATATCCTCAAACAAAGAGCAGCATGAGGAGTAAGAACCCAGGACTGCAGTGTGACAGGACAGTGGAATCTATTCTTCGCTATCATGGGCAACACATTCCTTTTCCCCAACTTAACTGAGTTCCACTCTAAAAATAGTTAGGATGCTGGCTTTTGCTACTCCCTTTGGAAAGCTATTCAGAATGCATGGTTAGAAACACTTCAGGATCATAGGTTTCACTAAGTATAAACTGAGACTGAAGTAATATTTCTGAGTTTGCTTATTGAGTTGTTTTGGTCACTATGAAGGACTTTTAATTTGTGAACTCTCTTCTGTTAAGATGTTAAAGCTTTCACTGATTAGAATTTACTTTTTTCTTGCTGATCATTTTAAGATTATGTGCTTTTTCAGTAATAAACAACTTTGTAAATATTTGTTGTTCTCAATTCTGAGAGAAGTAGAGGGGCAATTACACCAAGATATATAGTTACACCTTATTGCTGAGTTGCAAAGTAGCTGTCATCTAAAACTAGAAATACAACATTTGACAGTTCGTGTTACTGGACAGCTTTCATCTGCTGTGCCCTCAGAATACCTCAGTTATCTCAGTGGGACCTTATAAGTACAGACCTACATTTTCATTGTAACCTTGCTATCACAGATAGAATAAAGGTCATCTATTTTATTTGAAGATACAAACAAGATTGCAGTAATTTTTATTCTTCTCTTAATTAAAATTAAACCAAAGGTGAGCTTAACTATATCTTTATCTTACACAGGGACAGTGTTATTTGGGTCTGACAGATTTTTGAAGAATTTTACTGACCTTGTATATGTGATACCTGATTTTCAAAAGCGGATGCCTAAAATTAGATGTCTCTAATCCGTAGCCTTGGTCTAGTTTTCAGAGGAACTGGAAACTTAGAGAAGGACTCTTTCAGCACTGGCATTGTGTTTTCCAATACTGACAGGACAAGCTGTGTCAGAGTACTCTGAAAACCCAAGGGTCATCTCAGTTTCTTTTTTCTTCCTGATTCAAAAATATACAACCATATTTTTTATTAAATCTTAATAAAATTCTTTATTAATAGAATTATTTATTTAAATAATTAAATTTTTTATCAAAGCCTTTTCTTCTCTGAAGCATCCTCTGGAAAGTTGGTGAACTCATTCATGTTAGATATTTGAATTCAGAGATCTAGTTATGAATTCTAATTTTCAGCATCTGTATTTCAGGTATCACTGCTGTGTATTGCCAGCACAGAGAATGAGCTCAGTTGCCACTTTTAGACCTATGGCACCATAATACTTCTGGGATACATGCAGGGCAGTTGCAGGCACCCAAATGTGAGGCTCAGACACTTGGCTATGCTTTGTTTTTTTTATTTAAAATGTCTGACTACACAAAAGAAATAACTCTCCCAGTTTCTTTTTATTAGTGTTTCTTAAAAAGTCTGTCTTCCCTGATTTGAGTGATACATTCTTTCCCCCTCTGATTCTGCTGATTTGGATGTAATATGCTTATTTAGATGTAAATTTTTAAGGGCTATGATCGCTACGTTCGCTTTCACTTTTTCCTTTCACTTAAGGTAGCTTTTCTGCCCCTGATTTTAAGACAGTGAGTTCTTAAAGGCAACAAATCTTTAAATGATTGATTAAAGAAATAGATCAGCTGCTGCCCAGTGAAGTAATTTTGCAATTTCAGATCACAAAGGAGATTAAAGCTCAGATTGAAGTAGAACACATTTAGGTTGTTAATATGAATTGCAGGGGCAATTAAAAAAAAACCAACAAAAAACAACAAAACAAACCCAAAAATAACCCAACAAACAACCCTTGTACAGGTAATAGGACAAACTCACTTTAATAGTAGCAACTGCTACAACAGTTTTGCCTGATTGAGTTGGTTAACTGCTGTGCATTAAGACTTATGAGGTGGCTATTAGTATTGTGCACAAGGAAAAGAAGCTTAACAGTTTGGGCTGCTTCAGGTAGCTTCTCAGCCTGTGGTGTGCAGGTATTCTGTTTCCTGCAAGCTGACATGAAGCAGAATACGCTGCTGGTATATCGCACTGTTCACTGTGACCGCTCAGGCACTAGGGAAGGCTAAGGGATACAGCATTGTGGAATGGCATGCTTCGTTCTTGTTTCATTTCTGACTGAATCATGTTTTTAATGGGTATCAACAAACAAGATTAAGGAAGCAGCGTTGAGCCACTGATGCCTCATTCAGGAGCAAATAAAGTGTTGTTTTTTTCTTTTCTTTTTCTTTCCCACAAAGGCTTGGAGGGTTAAAACTGTCTTGCTGTTCGATTCCTTTCCTCCAAGATTTCCAACATATTTGTTGTGGTCTTACCTTATTGTATTGATGTTCTAGTGCTAAATCTTAGAAACAACTTGATGCAAGTCATGCTGGGCTCAAGGTACCTCTGACCTAAATAAGCTACCTACCTCATGAGGAGGGAAATTGTGCCCTTGGCTTCTGACTATAAGGGAAACATCATGTTAGACCAGCTCATGCTTGGACATCCACTGTAGGCCAATGAGTCTCTCTTATGTGTGTTGCTGCCTGGAATTTGTTTGATTCAAGACATCTTGGAAATAGTAAATGTACTGCTTTCTTCTTTCCACATATGTTGATAGCTTACTCCAAAACTGGTCTTCAAGAGCCCATTGTATAAAATACAGTTACCCTTAGGTTACATGTGAAGGGGATACAAAGCGTGATAGTTTTTACAACTCAAGTGGATTCAAACTTCAAAAAAACAACCCACCCCACCCAGCCCTCCCTCAAACAAAAAATTGCACTGTAAATAAGGCTTTTTTCTTAATTTTAGAGTAAAACTTGCTGGCCATAAAATTGATCCAATACCTGTTACTGTAATTAAACTGTTCTTACTGGCTTAACTTTCTATTAATAAGCTATAAACCAAAACATTGTTGACATTTACATCGAATACGTTTTTGTTGACCTGAATTCAATTTTAAGTTGTTGATACTGGATTTTTTGTTTATTATTCTTATAATCCAGGCATTTCTTCACAACCTAATAAATACAATGTTTTTTCTTCCAGATCTGTTTTCTCCTGTTTGCTGTTCTTTACATAGTTTCCTACTTCATAATCACAAGATACAAAAGGAAAGCAGGTAAGCATAGACTTAATGTATTAAAAAATAATTTTGCTTTTCAAATGAATAGGTGATTCTTTTCCTCTCTGCCTTCACAAAGAAAGCAGAAGAACTAGATCTCTGACTAAAAGTGTTTTTCAGGCTGCTGGTCTATGGCAGCCTGGACTGACCAAATTGTATATGCTGCTGTCTTGCCCTCTATCTGCTCCCTTTGTCCCTGAGCCGCACGTTTTCCATCACCTCCCTTGTGCCCGCTCTGGCACTTCTCAGACCCTTTAACATGCCTTCTAATATCACTAACCAAGGGAGGGAGTGCACTGAAGCATCTCAGAAAAGGATCAGTGAGTACTGTAGCTGGCACTGTGTAATTGAGTGAGAATGGGTGGCTGTTTTCAAGGTGTTGTGGATGGCCACAATCACTTGTTCTGTTGTGGCTCTGTGGCAGCCTGAATTTTTAACTGTTTTGAGAGGGAAGAAAGGGGAGAATGTCAAGTAGACTTTTCTGCCTCCCTTGCCTTTAGATCCTGTTGTTCTCCTTTCATGTCAGCTTTTCCAGAATAAGTATCTTCAGGCTGTGTTCTGGCACCAAAACCAAGTTCAGAGCTTTAGCTGGTAAAGTGAAAATGTTGCCAGTAATACAGAAGGGAAGTAGTGGGTTTCTTCAAAAAATCCTGCTTTGCTCAAGTAGAGTTATTTCAGTGTTCTTAACCTGTTCCTTATGACCTCACCACTGAAGTCTTATTCCTTGAGATAATTTTTTTTTTTCCCCTTCAGAAACATTGTCTGTCTGAAACTAGTCTGTAGGAGCCCCTGTAATTTTCTTCTATATTTCTTCTAAAGACAGTAGCATAAAGATCTGTATAAAATGGCAGAATCTTTGACTCCTGACAGTTCATCTGGGACCTTGGTGTTTGGTAATGCTCAGTCAGTCATGCTGGAGAAGCATTCTTATGCATGATGATCTTGGCACTTTGAACTTTGATGGAAACTGTTTATTGAGCTATAGTGACCTGTGTTGTTACAGAGCTGCTTTCATAGATGGGTTTGTGTTTAAAAAAGTAAACTCTTCAAGAAATGTAATACCTTTAAAAAAAAAAAAAGTGCACCTCTGTAAACATAGGAAGTAGTTTAAAAAGTAAGGTGGTTACTGTCTTCTGATCCTGATATGTATTTTGGAGACTACAGAGCTGCTACCATTTGGAGATAGGGAAGAACAGGGAAGGGAAACTGGTTTGGCAAACACTATTGGATGTAAAGACACGTTTACTACCTTTTTGGCAGCTGATCTCATCAGCTACTGAGAGGAACTGCTCTGCAGCTCTCCTGACTTTATGAAAGCTTTGTGAGCATTTAGTTAGGCAAACTTTGTAGCCTGCTAGGCTCTTCCTGATGAGACACATTTGAAGAGTTAACCCATCTGGAATTCTTTCAGGACAAATTGTTTGCTGTTTCTACAACAAGCTCTTTAGCCAAAACAATTCATAAGAGACCTTGAATTAGTCTCTCAAAACACCATGAGATTCTCATTAAAAAAAAAAAAAAGAGAGAGAAACAATAACCCAATGTACTTTCACAGAAGAATTTCAAAATAGCATGATGTTAGTGGCTACATGTTTATTTCAAGTGTGTACATGACTTAAACTTGAAACACCTGGCTTTATTCTTAGATTTTAAAATAAATTTGAGTTACTTCTCATGGAAAACTTGGGAGACTTAAAAGAAGAAAGCTGACTTTAAAATTATTTCAAATGTAGAAATGCATACATTTGTGTATAGATGTGTGTAGAGAAGGATGTAAAGAATAAATGAAGGATGTATTAGTGATTGACCTCTGAGTTAAATATTGATAATATTTCAAAAAATTGGAATATTAATTGAAGAATAAGTGAACAAAAATGGTCTAAAATGTGAAATACCAGAAGGGAAGCCATGGTATCTTAAATCCAAAGCAAACAACAACAACAACTACGCTCCTTCCCTGCCTCCCCCAAATCCCTAGGAGCAGGGAGGAGGGATGAGTAAGGGGAAGCAACTGAGTGGTGGTCAGTACTGTTCTGGGTATACTTTCTTGTTTTAAAAATACATTCATACTGAAAATGAAACATCTATTTAGCGTTTTATAGTAGTAGTTAGTATGGACCCTAAGACTTCCCCGTAGCTTGCGTGCTCTCTGTGGTTTCAGAGGTCCCCAAAGGACAGTTCCTAGCAGCAGCCATGCTGGTAGTAGTCTGAAAGCTTATTAACTGCAGAGCCTTCTGGAAGATGCTTCCAAGAAACTGTGATCTGTATATTTAAATAAAGTGGAATAACTTTGTAGTTACATTGATTGAAAAGAGTCTAAGGCAAGCAAAAAAAAAATAATTCATTTTTGTTAGGAATGTTCTTAAAATATTGATGCTGATAAATTGTTTTATTAATTCTAGATTTTAATTGTAAATTAATTATTCCTTTGTATATACATTTTAGCCTGAGGAAAGATGACTAAGTATTGAATATAATCTGCTGTAATTTAATTTTCAGATGAGCAAGAGGATGAAGATGCCATTGTTAACAGAATATCGTATGTATAGCTCATTTTTGCAGAACTTTTGTTTCTTGGTATATTATTATGATATGAATCTTGTATGCTTCCAAATAAATAACAGTCCGTTTTAAGTATGACAGCAAATAGTTTGCTAGAGGGCAGAGGAAAAAGATTTGATCAAGTAGCACCTAGTATTATGAAAGGCATGACAAGATGCAAGGCAGTTTGATCTAGGGCTTTTTTCACCTATGGTTTTCCTGGTAGGCATAAAGTTGGCCAGAATATTGCATGATGACCTGATGCAAGAGGTGGAATTCAGTGCAAGACCTGAACCTGAATTTAGGTCTCTAAAGTGTAGGTGTTTATATGGGAAGTAGGTGTTTTAAGTTCCCACTGCAGTCAATGGAAGCCCTATCAAGGGAGGCAATGGATCCTGGAAAGAAAGTTAGCTCACCCTGAAGTAGACATCTATGTTTGATCATCTTAAAAAAAACTTAAAAAAGAATAACAAATGGAAGACAAGCATTTGCCAGACTTGCTGGTCTGCCAGCCACTCTCTCTCCTCTTCCTGTTCCTTTGTAAAGCTAGATATTAATCTCTTCTATTTAAATACGTCTGAAGATTTGCAGAACATCTGTGAGCTGTTACTGCCCTCAGTTACATGATTTACTAAACTGTGGGCTTGCTACTTGCTTATTACAATGTTCTTAGCTCTTCCATGGTGGTACTGTCATCCTCTTGGAAGGAGAGCTCATGAGTATTTTATTGATTTGTCTTGTACCCTGGGAAAGTGCCGAGTACATTGCAAGCTGTTCGCTTTCAGTTGTGAATTTGTGGCAAGCTTGAAAGACGTACAAAGATGATGTAGATCTTAGGCATGCTTCTCACAGTAGTGTGTGGTACCAGAATTTTTTAATGAATTTGAACTTATTTGCCACAAGGTCTACTTCAGATCTATAGAAAAATACATACTTTTAAATGCTATGAAGCTCTTCCCTCTCAAGTAGAGAAGCATCTCCTGTGCTTTTAAGACTACAGTGAAGGCCCTTCTAGATAGAATGATTTTCATAGCAGCTGTGGTCTTAGCCTGGTTCTGAATTTTTCAATATTCAGAGAGTAACATTTGTCTTGTTAACTGTTATCCCCCCTGCATCTATTTTCTAGTTTAACTTTAAAACACAAGTATCAATTGTAAATACTGTGTTCTTCATGCAAAAACAGTGTAAGACAAGATTAGCACTTCCATCAGAGTAATAGCCTTTCATTAAAAGTAGTGTTATAAATATAAAATGCTGCTTGTTCTTTCAGCCTAAGCTTTCTTGTTCCTTAAGTGTGTATGTTATTTTCCAAAAAGCAATAACTGTCAAACATATGCAGATGGATATTTCTTTGCATAGCATAATTGTCAGGACTTAGATGGGTGGGAGGAGAAGACAAAGCCAAACTGCTGTAGCACCTTGAAAGGCTGTAGTCTGTTAGGTTTTACAATTCTGGCTTAGAATACTTAACCTTAAATAAGAGAAAAAAATACCTCAGTAACCAACAACAAAAACACATATATATATATATAATTTTTTTAAAAATAACTTAGAGAAGAAATTCTGGGTGACTAATTTTAAGTATTGTGTGAATGAAAAATAGATTTGTAGACTGTTAAGGAAAAGAAAGATCTCAGTGAACAACTTACTGACATTTGTGTTGTAGGAATGACCTATTTAAGTTTATCTTTTTTGTCATGCAATTTTCAGAATTATTTCTAATTTTATTCTAGCATTGAGTTAGTTCTGTCAGAACATTTTTGTTGGTTTTTTTTTTTTTTTGAAGAACACAGTTGTTTTTTAGTGCCACAAGATGGCATTTGATATAAGTTGTATTTGGGATCTAAAAAGAATAAGCGTAAATATTCTAAATAATTACGACAATTTCTCTGTATTGACTTTACAGCTATCAGAAAACCCCAAGCTATGAGATGATACTCGAGTAACTACATTGTGAAAGAAAAGCAATGTTGGTTTTTTTTTTTCAGTTTGGTGTTAAAATATCTGTTTATGTGTAATTGTACTCACTTTTTAGGCATTAAAAAGCTCTGCTTTTAAAAATTGTAGTAACAATATGGAAATAGAAGTTTTTTTCATTCTGAGTGTGTATGTGGGAAATGAAAACTAAAACAGGAGACTTATGAAGAGACACTCCATGAACTCCAATAATTTAACCTGTGTATGACATTGGAATTGAATGCATACAAGTCCCAAGAGAATAATTGTGGTAGTTGGTAAAAATGAGCTATTTTTACTGGATTCTGTAACTTACTTGGTATTTGAAATTTGCATTTTGGAAGTGAAATATTGTGGAAATCAGTTTCTCCTGCCCCTTTACAATGTAAGAATGTGTTGCCTTCAGACACTGATTAATAGGTAGGCTAACTACTTTTTTCCCCCCTGTTCAGAGCATGTTGGTGGTAACAGTGGTACATTTCTTTAAATTTCAGGCTGTTCTTGAGCACCTTCACTCTAGCAGTTTCAGCTGGTGCAGTCCTGCTTCTACCTTTCTCAATAATCAGCAATGAGATCCTGCTTTCTTTTCCACAAAACTACTATATTCAGTGGTTAAATGGCTCACTAATTCATGGTTAGTACTCAGCATAATGTAATTAAAATGGATGTCTTCATTATACATGCACAGATATGTAATTATTTTCAAAATAACTCCATTTTCATTTAAGATGCTAATTGAATTGTTAATATGTTATTGGCTAGTTGTTTTTGCTGTTGTGTGATATATCACAAAAGTTGGTCTTAACTGTTCTGGTGTTTGTTGTTTTGTTTTGGTTTTTTTTTTTTTTTTTAAAGAATTTTGGAGATTTGATGGAATTAAACCAAATTTGCTTTGGTTTGAATATTAATGTAGAATCAGAGCTACTAGAAGCTAACTTGAAAACATACTGTTCAGACTTCTTCCTCGTGTTAATGCAAGATTCATAAGCCTGTCTCTTTATGATGATACAAGTAAATTTATTCTCAAAAATAAGAAATTTAAGAAACTTGCTAGCTATGAGAAGTTGGGATTAGATAGTTAAATTCAACTGTTAGTGATTGATTTGTAAACAAGGAAAATTATGGAATATAAGTGTCTCAGGTGTGGTAAAGAGGCGCAATAAAAATAAGCTATTTCAAGGAAAGCAGGATGCAAGAAAAAAATATTACTTGTGCTTGCAGCAATGATGCCTTGATGTCTGCCAGAGTGAGTTTCTTAGGCTTTCCAATATTGGTTAACATGCTTATGACTGGCATGTATAATGGATACTAATATTTGAAAATAATTTGGACACTTCTATGTGTCTAAGGGAAATAACTGGTGGAAACAGGACAATCTTTAGTAGATTTGGCTGGAGAAAGAAGGTAAATTGTTTCACATAGTGAAGGTATTATTTAATCTAGAACACATAATTTACAAGTTAACTGTGCTGTCCTTTTTCTGTTCCTTTGAAGAGAGGGTAATTGGTCTTTGGAAGATTTTTCTCAGAAAAAGGTACAGTTTTTGCTAAATGTCTTATAAACTCACAGATAACAAATTCATTGATTTCCAGATCCCTAACTTGCAAGTTGTTTTGGCATGTGTGGTTTTTTTTTTTTAAGATTAAAGTAGTTTACAACAAATTAAACATGAATAGGTGAAGACAGGAAATAATGTGTATTGTCTGTCATCTTTCTGAAACTAGTTGAGTATTTTTTGTGTTATCTGGACAGTAAAGGAATTTTTATTTTTTAAAACCCATGAAGGAGGAGTTGACTGTAGGTGTGGTAGTCAATGGTGACCCTGACTGTGGTGACAAAGTAGTTTAAGACCTGAGAAAAGTGAGGAAGGAAAATAGTAGAAGAAAGACCTTAAATTTTGAGAGAATAGACTTTGTCATCTTTAGGAAATGTGTATGTGGCACCTTACTGGAGAATGCCCTGAAGGCAAAGGAAGCCAGGAGAGATGCTTACTTTCAAGGATAACCTTTAAGCACTGTAATGTGCACCTCAGTGTGCAAGAAAATGAGCAGGTGTAATAGGAGGTTGACTTGGCTTAATGGGGAACTCCTGAGCTCAAAAGCAAAAATGAAGTGTACAGAAGGTAGAAATAGGGATGAACTACCCAGGAGAGGTGTAGAAATATCACCCGGATTAATATCCTGGTGTGAAATTAGGAAAGCCAGGGCACAGCTGGATTTGCAACTGGTGAGGGGTTTGTGTAGAGCCAGCTTCTTCTCTGGAACGTGCAGTGAGAGGCAAGAAGCAATGTTTGCAGGACATGAAGCAACAATTCTTCACAGTGGGGATGGTTGAACACTGGGAACGGTTGTCCAGAGAGACTGGGAGATCTAAATCCGTGGAAGTTTTCCAAAACTCAGCTGGCTAAAGCCCTGAGCAACCTGATTGCATCTGCAGTTTAGTGGTTTTAAGCAGATCAGACTACATGACTTTAGAGGTTCTTTCTAGTTGGGTTCTTCTATGATATGTTTTGTCACACGTCATGGGGGATTGCTAATTTGGTATGTCTCCTACATGGAAGGAAAAACCCTCCAGCTAATTCTCATTTTTTCACACAGATTTAGCTGCTCAGACAGATTTATATTCTTTGCTTCCAAACATGGGGAAAAAAAAAATTTAGTGGAAAATAATCCTTTCTTCCGTGTCTGAATTGAATTTGGAAAAAGCTACAATAAAATATTACAGAGTGAAAATTATAATAACCAATTCAGAAATTTTCACTCTGTAAGAGTTGCTACAGTACTTGAGAAAACATGAGTTAATTAGAAATCTGCTGGAGAAAGTAGTTGTCACATAGGAAGGCCTTTGAACTTTCCAGTGACCATGTTGTTTTGATTTTTAATGTGATAATCTTTTGAAATTACCACTTTATGCATGCACAGTATAATTTATGTAAGTCCAGTAGTAATGGCTATCAAGGAAGTAAATTCAGCATCTTGGTGTTTCCAAGATTGTATATTGCAAAGCTTACGCTGGGGTAGACATGACTGAACTAAACCAAGTTTACCACAGTTGGTGTGACGGCTTCAGAAACATCTGTAACTGCAACTTGACAAAAATGGAATGTACTTTATTTCAAAACATTATCTGGGGGAAGGGCTCCCTCTTGTGGTGTTCACTAGGTTTGCACAATAACATTGCACTGCTCTGTAAAAACCTATTCCATGTAGTGGCAATAGGCAATACGTTTTTGTAGTTATGAAACTACAAGTGCAAGTTTTGAGAGCTGACAGTGCTATCACAAGCAGTCGAGTTCAGAAAATGTTCATATCTCCATAATACTCTATCATAGCCTTCATGTATGCTTTGCTAACTGCTTTGCAAATGTTACCAAATGGGAAAATTTGTATTGCTTTAAAACACTTCAGTTTTGCTAGATATATCAATTACAGATATAGTCTGAGGTACTTGAAAAAGACATTAAGGGTTTTTATACTGTACACTGTTGCATTAGTTGTAGCATATAGAAAAAGCAAAAATATATGCCTGGAATTTTTGAAACTAGGCAGAAAGCCCCTACCTGGATCCAGTATAAACACTCTTATCTAATGCATGTTGAACTAAACCCAGAAGTACTTCTGACAGCTGGATGTTCATTTGTGCTGTTGTTGGATACAACCACCAGGTGGGGGTAAAAGTTAATGAAACTGCCATGAATAACCAAGACAAAAAATTGCTAAGGGTCTAATCTGTCTGCCAAAGACTGAGAGATTTTTTAATTTTTATGTTTCATTAACTTTTTAATGGGGGATATTCTTAGGTCACTACGAATGCAAAAAAAAATAATTTTAAAATATGCCAATAGACTGCTTAAAGTTTTTATATATGTTGATACCTGCAAGTGTGTCTCATGCAATTTTATGGTGCAGTCAACGTAATAGAAAATAATTATTTTTTTGGGTCTATTTTAAATTGATTCCTGAACTATCAAATTCGGATAAGAAATACAGTAGGGGAAGAAGAGGGCCATGTATGTTCCTTACTTTGAGGAAAGTGTATATGTATGTCAGCAGCAGTACAGCACTGTCCTTACCTCTCATAACTTTACATGCATATCATAGCTCTGTGGTTTAATATTCTGTAAATGTGGTTCCTATCAGCTACTAATGTGTAAATTTCTGGATTTTTAACTTCTTAAAGATCACCCAAGATATGCACCACTCTCCCCTCCCTTAAAATGCTGTGTACATATGATGCAGCTCCGAAGCACTGTTTTACATTGTAGACATACATGTAATAAAACTGCTGAAATTAGAACAACCAGGTATTCAGCTTTGGATTAGGTAACTGAATGCACTGTCTTCAGTTAGAGAAAACTGCTGAAATAAGACCCCCATCTAATAGTATTTCTACTCTAACACTGGTGTCTTAATTTTCTGAAAAAAAAGCGTGTGTGGGGAAGTACGCAGAGTGCTTGAGTTAATGTACCCCTAGTAAGGGCTGTTAATGACATTCTTGCTGATGTTGCTATGTGTGAATGTTTCTTGGATGGTAACAGGAGCTTCCTGGCTAAGCAAATTCAAAAGGAAAAATCCCCCTCTTTGTTAACTGGAGTTTAGCCACCTTTAGGCAGTTTGTTTTCTTTAGCAATTGAGTATTATATTTCACGTATCTCTTGGAATTTTCTTGTTTTGTTTTCTGTAGCTTATTTGGCTAGGTTTGGTTCCTGGTGTCCTGGTGCTATCCATTGCTGGAGAAGTAGATTTCTTGGCTCCCTGCCTCCCTTGTCCTTTGTTTTTATTTTTCCTTGAAATTTAAATAATTTCATTTAAGGAAAAAGGAAGTATATATGGTGAAAGCATTTTTTTAAAGCAGTGTAGGTGAAGATAACTGCTAACTTTTTTACATTTGGAACTAAATACAGGAATTTCTCCCAATAGTGAATTGCCCAGACATGCAGTAAATGTCTCTTTCCTTCCCTATTCTTTCAAAATGGACAATTTCAAAGAAGAAAATGAACAAGCCTGTACATGAGAAGAAAAAAATAGACCTGTTCAAATTTTCTTATCATGGGGAATGTTCTTTTTTGGATTTCAGGTGATATGATATAGTCCTGCAGAATTTTGGAATTTTGGGGAAGCTTGTTTTAGGGGACTAAGCTTGTTTTTCTCAACCACGAAATAAAAGCTGTGTTTTCAGGATGCAGAACATGTGACACTTGTTAAACCTGTTAGCTACTAAATTGTAGGTAAGCTGCTGCTTTCATAAAGAAGGAACACTGCATCCTGTACAACTTTTGATAGGATGATGATGGGTTCGTGTTTAGGCACCAGAAAGTGGCTATTAAGAAAGTGTTCAGCTTAGAAAATCTTACTAGAACAGATACCCTTAATGGAGATCAGTTATCACTTCAGGTTGTTTTCTAAACCTTATCCCTTCCTGCAGATGTCACATGTGTCTTACAGATGTTCTAGTTTTAGTCAGTTGTTGATTTTTCACCTAGATAACAGAATGGTTGAGGTTGGAAGGGACCTCTGTAAATAGTCTAGTCTGACCCCCTGCTCAAAGCAGACTGCTCAAGGCAGTGCCTGCTCGCGTTTTGAATATGTTGAAGGATGGAGATTACAAAACCTCTGTGGGCAACCTGTTGCAGTGTTTTATTACCCCCACAGTGAAAAAAGGTTTTGGTTTTTTTTTTTTTTTTTTTTTTTTTTTCCTCCCTCTTATGTTCAAATAGGTTTTCCAGTTTTTCAATTCATGCTCATTGCCTCTTCTCCATTCACTGGATACCACTGTGAAGAGTCCGACTGTTTTCCTTTCCCCCTCCCTCATCAGATATTTGTATACAATGATAAAATCTCCCCAAGTCCTCTCTTCTCAAGGCTAAACAATTCCAGCTTTCATAGCCTCTCTTTGTATGACGGATGCTCCAATCCTTTAATCATCTTTGTAGTCCTTTGCTGGACTCGCTCCAGTATGGCCGTGTCCGTCTTGTATGGAGGAGCCCACTACTGGATGTGGTGCTCCAAATGTGTGCTGCCAGTGCTGAAGAGAGAGGAAGGATCATCTCCCTTGACCTGCTGGCAACACTTCTAATGCAGCCCAGGATGCTGTTGGCTGCCTTTGCTGCAAGGGCATGTTGCTGGCTCTTGTTCAGCTTGGTGCGCAACAGAACCTCTAAGGCCTTTTCTACAAAGCTGCTTTTGGGATGACTGGTCCCCAGTGTGTGCTCTGCCCATTTGTCCAGCCTTGTGAGGTTCATCTGAGTGGTAAGCCACCGTTCCTCCCCACCTCGTACCTTCAGCAAACTTGTTGAGGTTGCGCTCTCTCCCATCGTCCACATCATTAATGAAGATGTTAAAACCAATATCGACCTGCAGGGCTCTACCACTGGTGACTGGCTTCCAGCCTGACTTTGTAGTGCTGGTCACAACCTTTTGAGCCCAGAAGCTTAGCCAATTTTCAGTCCACCTCAGAGTCTACTTACCGAGCTCATACTTCGTTAATTAGACTATGAGGAGATTTATGGGAGATGATGTTGAAAGCCTTACTAAAGTTGAGATAAACAATATCCAGTGCTCTCCTCTTGCCCACTGAGCCAGTCATCTCATCATGGAAGGCTGCTGTTGCTGTTACCATGATACCTTCTTCTAATTTGGAGGTGATGATGGGAATTGTGTATTGTTCATGTTAAAATCCATGATTTGTCTAAGTTTCTCTTGAGGAAAAAATATGGGAGGAAGTGAGTACACAGAACTTAATTTTGTGAGATTCACTGATAGTGGTAAAATACTCTTGTCCTGAAAACTTTTAAGGTGGTTTTCTGAAGAGCCTTCAGTGGGATATTGTGGAAGTAGTCCATCTGAGTTTGCAGTCTGTCTCCCAAGACTTCAGACATTTGCTGCTGTTTAAGTTGGTATCCAGTTTTTGTTTGAAGATGATTCTGCAGAGAAATGGGTATTTTTCAGCCTGTAAATAACTATATCCGTAAAAACCTGGCTTCTGTTAGCACTTGTATGCATATTATTGTTACATATAAGGGAGGAAAATGTAGTGTCTTTTAACTTTTAATGCTGAGAAACTCGTAAACTTTTTTCTTGTTTGTTGCAGGTTTATGGAATCTTGCTTCTCTTTTTTCGAATTTATGTTTGTTTGTGTTGATGCCCTTTGCCTTTTTCTTCCTGGAATCGGAAGGATTTGCTGGCTTAAAAAAGGTAGGAAAATACCGTTAAATACAGAGTCTTTACAGCATATATTCCGTTTTCAGCCCTTGTTTCTGATGAAACTGAAATTAGAAATTTGGGAGGATTTGGTGGTGGCATGTGTATGCTTACGTGAACGTGTATATACAGATGCGCCCTCTTGCACAAGCAGGTGAAGCTATACGGTGTGTGGCTGTGAGTAAGCTTAAGGAGGGGAAAAAACCAAGTCCTTGAAAAGCCATTTATACTGAAATGAAGAGAATTACTTAACTTGTCTTTTTTTTTAATAACAATGTTTTAATCAGTATTTTATTTTTGGAAAATGATTTTGTTGGGTTGCTAAAAGGAGAGAAGCTTCAATAAATACACTAGAAATGAAGTAACAAGGGAAAGAAGTACAGGCTTCTTACTAATGGGAAGGTTGATTAAGTAACGGATGACCCAGAGAAAACAATCTTGATTTGTGAATTTTAAAGATTACAAACATCCCCAAAAAGGTTCAAGTGCGGTCAGTATTAATGATAATATGTTAAGAAAAGTGTCTTAAATGGGTGGAGAATAACTAAAAATATTCAACTTAGTGGAATATGCTCAAGTTGAGAGGGCTGAGTATTTCAGTGAAGCATGGAATTTGGCAAAGCAATTTCTGAATGATAAGATGATAACGATTATATTAATATGTGAACTAAAGAAATATAATGAAAAATTACTTTAATGGGAGGCACAGCAAAATGAATTTCAAATCATAAATATCAAATAAATGAAACTGGAATGACTGTCTGGGGACCAACTGTAGCACATTTTCATTAATCTTTGTCATCCGAATGGTTACACTTTTGTTTTTAATGATACTACACTTGAGGGAATTCTGTGCCTTTTGGATGACAATTATTAGAAAGCAAAGGATCTTGAAAAATGGTCTGAAATCAGGAAAATGAAACGCATTAAAGATGGATGCAAAAGACTGTGAGTCATTGGTGGATTGCACGTAATATAAATCAATGAGGGGATGATTGTGGCGAGAAGGGAAAACGTAATTCCTGGTTGCATGAACAGGAATTGGCATAGAGGCAATGAAGTTGCCATTTTTATTCTTGGTGGAATTGGGGAAAACTCAGCTGAAGTACTGCATTCGATTTGGGATTTTAGGATTCATGTAGATGCTTAAGAGAGAAAACAGGACAGCAAAAAAAAAACCACCTTAAAAGTACAGCTTGAAGGGAAATTTTAATTGAGAGACTAAACTGAAGATTTTATTCAAAAGCTGAAGCTACTGGGAGATTACATCAACTTGAGCAATATAGCTGTGTCAGAAAGGACCTGCAGGACCCAGTCCAGATGGTGTGTAAATACTTGTTTGGTATAGCTTGTTCTGTGCTTCTTGATGCTACAGCAGTGTTAGTTTGTATTGACTGAACTGTAGATGTATCCAAGTTACTTAAAAGTTTGGGTGACCAAGCTAATGAGTTCAGCTTCAAAGGAGTTTGGTGATGGGCTATTATGTTTAACTTTACATATCCAACTTGGCTGGAAAACACTCTCCTCTCTTCTTCCTTCACTTCAGATATCCAGAAGGCTAAGAAAACTTTTAGCAACTCCTTTTGTCCTTCCAGGTTTCATGTGGAGGCTACTCCTTTTTCCTTTTGGCTCTAAATATCTAGCCACAGCTAATGTATATCTTTCCTTCTAAAAATGAAATAAGTTAACTGATTTTAGTGGGGTTTGCGTCTCCTGCAGTCCAACCAAAACCAAGAATTCTCTCCGTCAGCATACCATGTGTGGTACTGCTGGTGTGTCCCCTTGACTTGTAGATTTCTGTTGGCTCCAACAGATTCATTATGTATCCCAGCTGTGTAAAACTTGCATTTTACATAAAACTTTAATAGTTATAGTGTAACTTTTAAACTTATGATACTGGCTATCAATAAATCCCGTTCAAGATAAATAGGATCACCATACATGTTTACACTTGGAAGCATTTGTAACTCTAGATGAGATACAACCATAATCTATATGCAGATGTAAGGAGAAAGACAATTGTTGGTGCTTTAGAGTAGTTTTGCTTCTTCATGGGGTAAATGAGATCAGATTTTAATATCAAAACCCACCTATTGGGGGGGAAACCCAATTTGGGTATTTTTTTTGTTACTTTGACTCCTCCTGAATGTTTTTGGTACATCCCAAAAGCCAAGCATGATTCTAGTACAGGTACTCAAGGCCTTTGTCCAATGTCTGTTCTACCCGGCTGCTCTATTTAAAAGTATCCAAAATGGATGCAGACATACTGAATTGTTTTACCAGCTTTGAGTGAGCCCTGAAGCTATTGGTGAATATGTGGGAATTGTAGTCCATTTTAATATGAACATACCTTGTCTTTGATCACTTTTCTTAGAAAGTAAGTGGCAAATGTCAGTTCTCGACTAAGTGGATAGTTAAAATTGAGTGTGCTGTTCTGTTCAAATTCTCAGGCAGATACATAGTTTTCCTTGATATAAGTACTGTATATACTTTTTTAAAGAATTATATCACATAATAGAGTGATTAAAATCTGGGAAAAATTATAGTTAATTGAACTCAGGATTACATGTAAGTTTTTCAGTTCTAGAATCTGTAAAGGGTACTTCCCATCTCTTTTACTTTCCCTAGATTTTTGCATATTGCGTATCTTGCCTCTTCTCAGAGAAGATTTTGAGACCTTGATTACTTTGTTGAATTCTGGTACTTTAACAAATTTCGGTTTTGATTATACTTGTGCAAGTTTTTAAAAAAAAAAAAGTCATATTTTGTCATTCATCACATCAGACTAATGGGCCAGAGCTAAACCATCATTCAAATGCTATTACTGTTAACTGGCAAAATCAGATTTTAGTGATTTCAGTTTAAATGAACATTTCATACATCTGGCAAAACTTGTAGCATTTAAGAGAAGAGTGGTCTACTGTAAATGTGAAGGCATTCAATAAGGAGGTTTGGCACAGGATATGTAATCTTTACTCTTTCGGCTGGGAGTTGGATACGAGGAGTAGGGAAAGTAGTTGTTTCTAGATCCCCAGCTCAGCTCAAAATTTGGATAAAAAGACTGTTTCCACTGGAAGGTTTCGTGCAGGTCAACTTGAATTTGTCATAGAATTACCTTCATTATTATGAATAAACAGGTCACTTGAGATTTAGATGTGCACAGTCAAGATGTCTGTTTGAAGGTGTTCATGTAAGAATTACTTGCTGGATTTTAATAGAAGTTCTGAAAATGAATGATTAAAAGACGTTCAGTTTGAAATTGAATGGATTTTTTTCATTTTTTAATGGATTTCTTTGTTCAGCTTAAATTGCGACAGTAATGTTAGTCATTATCACATATGGGCCTAACCCCTGAAGTTTTTAGCCATCTGTTTGAGTGTTTATCATAGATTATGCTATACAAGTTGATTTTATGTATTCACGGTAGTGTGAACTTTTTGCAAGTTATGGTATTTCAGATAGCTCATAGGTTACTATTATGAGCTTTGTATAGCTTTTCTTTCTATGTTCTTGTAAGGAAGTATTGCCCCCTTAACTGTTAAAGTTTCATGAATCAGAATGGATTTGATTAACCATCTTCCAATTTACTATTGCTTTTTTTTCTTGGTTGCTAGTATACTTTCTAAATGGCACATGGCCCCTCTTATAGACTCTTTTCGATTCCCCGGGGCAACAGTTTAAAACAACCAAGGACTTGCATATTATGTAGAGGAGAGAGATACGGAAATTAGGCACTCACCATGGACGGATGCAGTGTTGTACTGAAAATCAAACTGATTCTCTGCCTAGTTTTTAATTAAAGCCACTATGTTAATTCAGAAAGGGCATTTTGGGCCTAAGGGGGTTGGCCGTGCCCTTTTAAAGAGCTTAAGTGCTCTTCCTTGCTATAGTTTATTTCCATTTAGTGGTAGACTTCTGTTATCAGGAAAATAATTATGTAAGCAATATTGGAGGTGTATAATATATGTGTACATGCCATGTGTGCGTTTATGCACACGTGTATTTTCATGCACATGTGTGAATTAGGTTTTTCAAGACTACTGAGGTAGTTGGAGGTCATTGTGATATATTATACCTTAGCCAGTGCTATTAACTGAGCTATTGGAGTACCTGAAGTAACCTTAATCTTCTGCATAGGTATTAAACTTTTTCATGTCTTTCTATATTCTTCTTGTCTTCCTTTATAGAGTCTCTGCATAAAGCTATATTTCTTGTTTAGATACTCTTTCAGTTCTTTGTCACTGGCCTTCCCAAATTCTGCAGTACAGTTATGAAACAAAGGTGTCAACCATGTTTCTTAATGTCAGAATTAACCTAATTCTTTATCATTCTCGCCAAAAAAGGAAAATTGTGGTATTTGCAGTTGTGCATCTGTAGTTCACAGTGCTGATGTTTCCATGTGTGGTAACAGACTGCACAGAAAATTACATGTATGCTGCTGTGTCAAGGAGGCAAGCATTTTTGAGGAGATAATTGCTATACCTTTTCTTGACCTTTAAAATATGCTTTCTCTTGATGTAACTTCAACTGAAATTTGTATTTGTTTGAAGTTGACAAAGATAGAGATGTTTAGGAGTAATTTCCTTGTAAGAAAATACAAATAGTGCAATTTACCGCCGTGAGAAACTGGAATAACTAGGTATTGCATAATCACGAGTAGAGTTTTTAAAAGGCTTTATGAAGTATTTTGCCTTAATACTGATCTTTGAACTTGAAGTCATGGCATAAAGTTTAACATGAGCGACAGCAACATCCTGACCAATTATCCAAATTATCCAGACATCCCAAAATGTTCGGAACACAACACACAGAGTCTGTGGATTAAGAGGTTAACTCCTGGAACATCAAAAGAAGTGCATGATAATAAAAACAAATAGTACAAAAATTTGAGGTAACTTCCTTGCTTAATTAATTAGGTAGACCAGGTGGAAGCGAAGAGGCCAGAGCTGGTGCTCAGAATGTCTATAAAGCTGAGCAACATGACAGCACAATGG